AGGCACAGGTACCTACACCTCCTTCCCTTCTTTTTCTTCTTTTTTTTATAGACTTTATTTGGTTTTGTATGTGGCTCAAATTTTAAAATTAAAAGATGGAATTTTTAGGTGCATACACGTATACAAAATTTATTATTTTTGTTTATGGACTAATAAAATCACAGTTTAAATCTCAGAGTAACAAATGATTATATTAATAAAAATTTATATTATAATTAATAAAATACCTTGCTCTGTATTAACCGCATATTTGGCTTTGCACATATTTATAATTTCAATTTTTTGGCGAAAAAGGAATAAAAGTTTCAAATGTTGTTTAAGAATAGTACGTGTATTGTATATAATACATTTATTTCCATTGTATAACTAATTTTTTTTTCTTTAATAATGGCGAATATTTGTAATTCTCATAAGATTCAATTTTCAATACAACGTAAATAGCATTTTACAATCAATTTAATAAATTACATAAAAAATTAATGCCTATTTTTTTCAATCTTTATTTCGTGCTCATATTTTTCTCATATTCTATTTCGTTCATCTTGCTGAAGTGCGTTCTGTAAATGGACCCTTGCTGCTAATGAACGACGCAAAAAAGACAAGCAAAACAAAATGAATAAACTGGAGAAAAACAAGAACTAAGATGCTGGCAGGGTATAAATAAAAGGAAAATGACAAGTACATCGAGATAAAGTGCAGGCTAGTAAGAGAAGCTACAAAGAAGATACATTTTTGTATACAGTATTAGCATCTCTATAAATAAATGTCTTTTCGCAGCTTGCTCTGTCTCTCTCTCTCTCTCTCTCTCTCTCTCTCTCTCTCCTTTTCAATTTCTAATGTTTACACTAGCTTTTATTTACAAATTACAATAGTAGGATAAAAGGAAAAACAATTTTTTATGAACCATTTTAGCTGAAGAGGAGGCATGTAACCATAGAAATAGCATAATCGACGTTACTCTAGCGGAAAAATTTAACATGTCAAGCAAACGTTAAAGTAAAAATGGTCGGGTTGCATTTTCGATTCTAAGTTGCACTATCTCAACTAATATTCATAAGATATTTAATAAAATGTACGAAAGTAGCATAGTTGACATGCCTCGATATCCTGGTTAGTGACTTGGCTAACGTTAACTTAATTTTATTTCACTTTCGTTACTTTCGTTAATTTATACTTTTAGTTCCAAACTACTTATACCAACTTATTACTGGAATTTATATCCGAATTGTGAATTGGTTATTTTTTTTTAATAGGGATATAACAGTTCTTTAATTAAATAAAACATCTCGAATAAATGCAAATAAACTGATATTAATCGATTATCAATACTTGTACCAACGAGTTTGTTATTTATCGAAATTTGAAGTTTGAATTAAATCTTAAATAAGCATATTAATGTAACTTGCATATCAAAAATTAATTGCTATTCGAATCTAAAGTCATAAAAATTTGCTGAATATCACAATCATGCGCTTATGAGGCCTTACCCTTTTTGCATTTACCTGTTGATACAGCAGTTCTTGCGCGAGAATATTTGTAATGTCAATAGAGTCCAAAGTGGTTGCAGCCATTATATTAAAAAATATATGCTTTTATGAACTTCAATATCGTTTAAAATAAAATCATAACTCGAAATATTTCGTCGTTTAATTAATAAGCCACACCATTTTCTCGTCGAAGTGAAACGCCATTTGACGCATATAAATTTTATATCGTTTGATAATAAAACGTAGAAATTAAGGATTTGTTTGATAGTTAAGTGTCAAAGTGAATAAAGATACCAGGATAATCAGTTTAGTCAGGAAAATTGAAGAAAAATTGGTATCGTTAATAAAAATTAAAGCGAACAATAGCATGAAAAATATTAACAGGAGGTACATCAAATAGATTGCGTAGTGTGGTATGAAAGTGGAAGTAAATGTATTACAGGTTTAAAATAATTGTTCGTTTTTCGTGAAGAAGGTATGTCCCCTCTACGTCGTTTTCGTTTTTTTCGTCGTTGTATCGTAAGCGCCGGCGGCGTCGTCGCGTTACGTTCCTTGCAGACGCCTCTTTTCAACTGCCAAACAAGAAGTCGGCAAGAGGCGTCGTGACGCTTTTCGTGTTTCTTGCTTCCTCTCAAACCCCACCAAACGTGCGCACGCGCACATACATTTACCCTTGCATCTTTAGCGAGAGCGAGCACTGAGTGAGTCAAAATAGAATTGTACATGAATTTTCGTGTTGGCGCAAAAAGGGGTAAAACAACAAGCGAAAGGAGGAAATTATATTGCAAGAGTGGAATATCCAGATTTTTTACATTAATAACGTTCAGTTTTTAGCTGGAGCAGAATTAGCTGATGGAGGGACAGTTATCATATAAAAAATTGGTATATCACTAGCATTTTATCGGTTTCTTTAAAATTTTCGGAATTACAAATTAGCCTTCAAATTAGCTTTGAAGGCTCAACGTCATACTGAAATGATGAACAGCTTTACTTCTTTTTAAATTTTATATATATTGTCTTATTATATTATCGATATTACGGACAACCGTTAAAATATTATTGCGTACTCGTTCTTGCAAATTTTATGTTTTGCCATCTATAAAATACGTTAAAACATATTTCTTACATAAACAACCCCAATTTATATATACATAAGAAAAAAAATTTAATTTATATATATGTGATTTAAGTAATATCATATTATTCTTTACATTTCCAAAATATTGATACAAGATATTTCAATGTATTTAACGAGCAACCATCACGTTTTTTATTTTCGTGATTACCTGCGTAAAGACCATATTATGTGTAATTCCTGAGGACATTCAGCTACTATTTTAGAATTTTCTTTTCCTAACTTTTCTCTTTTTTACTTACTGAAGAATATGCTACTCTTCTATAAATTTACAAATATTTGCTTCGTAATTCTTACGCCAACACTCGCATTAGCCAGTAGTACAACAAACAGAAAAAAAACAACCAATAGGGTGCCCCTTATGACTATAACATTTCCGTCGCAGGCATCGCGGATATCCTAATGAATGTTGGACGTCTGCCATAATCTACGATTACCTGAAAGTCTCACACGTTCGTTCAAGAGAAGGTCCCATATTGCTTTTCCATATACATCGCACCTGTGTTTTCGTGTGTACAAGACATTTCTATTTTTGTCTTAAACTTTATTATTTTTCTTTATATTTAGAATTCTTCCCGGTTATCCGATTGTCAATCTTTATTTTTTAATAGGGACTACTAGGGTAGGCAAATGTATTAAGATTAGCATGTACGTAGGTATAATTACGAAAAGCTCTGAATTCTACTTTAATTTCATAGAATTCCTAAGGGGTTTGAATAATATTATATGATGCCCTTCAATCTCCTTCCTACAATTGAATTTTCTATTACATGTAATCCTATTTATTTCTATTTTATTTATTTCAATTATTCCAATGCTTTTATATACTTGAAACTGATATTTATTGTGAATTTAATATTAAAAACAAAATATCTTTCGATTTACTTTATTATCTACAGATGCTTTCATACTACTATACTATAAGAATTCCGAAGTTAAACCATAGTTTTAATAACTAAACATAGCTACTGAAATTGTACATTTTCATATACTATTTATATTCAAAACATTGCTACACCTCCATTAAAAATGATCGTGGCTATATACAATTACAATCGAAATGAATATAAACAGCTAATAATTAATTCCAATAGCTTGCATTGTGTTTAGTAATAAATTGAGGATCACCCGAATATGAAACTACGTAATTAAACTAGGACTTTTTCAATCCTGTCTTATCGATTTTTTCGAAACAAGAATCAGACGTTTATGAAACTAAAAGCACAATATATTCTCTCGTATAACAATACATATTACAACAGCAATATACAAACAAATTAGGATAATTACATTCGCAATCTTCTAAGAATTCCCAATCACTCTCACGTCTTTACACTTGTGGAACTTGCATTGACTCTTGAACAGGTGCCAAGAAAACAACCTTTGTATGAAGACACTTCTTCATTCACACTTAACAGCGAATTAAGCGACTTCACAGCAAATTAAGCGAGATCTACCTTTTGCTCGGTTTAATTTGATTACTATGAACTTACGCTTTTGATGTAATAATGTGAATACTGATGGAATATTTTAACGAGCAAAGATAATATTTTTGATTAATGAATACTTTAATATTCTTACTTTTAAACATCCATATACTAAAATATTAATATTGTGTACAAAGCTTATTATCATTACTAGTTATAAATCTTTATTCGCAAACATATAATTTGCCTAATTCATCAAATATATTTTAACTTTCAATATAATAGTAATATTTTGATTACATTGATATAATTGTAATTATTATAAAAATAATAATGATCCTCACCAAAATTATTATTATTAAATATATTTAATATTACTAATGTATCATATATATTACTAATGTACATATTGGTTTGGTAGCTAGAAAACATCTTTATCAATGTTTATACATACATAGTTTCATTATCTACAAACATATTTAGTATCATTTTGATTTTTTATAAAATTGATATAATCATGACGCTACTTTACATTGCTTAAAAGGCAAAGAAATACAATAGTTAATGGATATTTTCTTATTTTACGTAGCTAATTATAAATACCTAACGACAAAAATTTTTATTTTTTTTTGGTCGCTATCGCATGAAGTGATTGATAAGATAATTGCTGCCGAACTTGAAGAAAATGCAAGTATGTGCGTACTTGCCTTACAATGTAATCAATATTTACCTAGACACATAAATAATCAATTGTCATATTATACGTACATAGTCAGTCGTGAGACAAAAATTATATATTATTATACTGTCAATTTTTATATATTTTACCAATTTCTGTGTAATTATAAATGTTGTTACATAAAATGATTTCACATTTCAAGCAAGTTTTATATTTTATGTTAATGAGATTTATTAAATTATTCTCATTCTTAATCATTTAAAACTGATTTAATTGAGTTTATATTATTAAAAGTTTATACCTATAAATAAATTTAATAATTATAAAATCTTTTCGATATCTATTATACCTATAAAATAACATTTAAATATTTATGAAAAAAGTGTAGAGTAAATGATATTAAAGAATATTCGTTTTCTAAAATGAATACATAAAATCATTAATGTGTGTAAGAAATGATATAAAGACTGACATTTAGGAAGTATCATTTTTGTTCTTATCTGGATTCAAGTATAATAGAAACAAAGAAACTAAATATCCAATTGTAATAAGCACACTAGCGGTTTCAATAACCACGATGACAGTCATGAAGTTTTTAAACATAAAACACGTGTTATTGATGTAAAACCTCTACTATCAATCAAAAACTTAATGAGTCGACAAAAATTTAAAATATTCATCTTACTCTAGAAATTCAATTCGATTTACAAAATATGCACAATTTTGAATTATATGAAAAACACGGTTGATACGAAACTTTAGATTATTTCGATATATTATGTATTCGATATATAGTAGAATATATTATGAAGAATAACATATAAAATAGTGTCAAATATACTAAGTTAAATAATCAATCAGAACTTACAACAAAAATGAAGCAGTTTTTCGTTTCATATCGTTTTAGAAGTCAGTAAACAAAAAAGCAAAGAAGATACGATATGCCTATTCGAGCATCTATTATCTTTGAAAAGTTCTTTTTCTTAGTCTAATAGTACTTGTTTACTTATTGCCTTTCCCTTTTTCAATTATATATCTATAAATCATTATTATATTTTCTTTCGTTTTCTCTAAGGCTGTGCCAAGCAAAAATGGAGTAAGATTGTACGCTGCATGACTGAGTGAAATTTTCTGCTCTTTCGCCTCGACAAAGAACGAGTCTATCGCTCTCAAATATAATTCGAGCGATGACTTTAGTCGCCTGCCCCCCCCCCCCCAATAATTCAGCAACTTTCTCGTTTTTAGTGTGAAAACTGCAAGCGAGTGTCGGATTCAGACGGCAACGAACATGTGCATAATGAACGAGAACCGTAGATGTACAAGTATGCAAGCCGAAGTAAAGGCGAATGGAATAAAGACTATGGCGAGAACTTTTTCTTTTGCCTTTATTAGATTGATAAAATAAAAACACTGCAATTTGATTCCAGCTGTCGGCGATTTTCTCGAAGAAACTGACATGTTATGAATACGAACAAATACATTACCAATCAAACATTTTAATTGTATGGATTTGATGTTATGGATATGAACGAATACGTTATCAATCAAATATTTTGTAATACCACAAGTAATGTAATTTTTGGTTTTGATTAGATGCAATGTTGTATAATTTAATTCATACATTTTATTGCACATACAAGATGTGATTGGCGATTTTCTCGAAGAAACTGACATGTTATGAATACGAACAAATACATTACCAATCAAACATTTTAATTGTATGGATTTGATGTTATGGATATGAACGAATATATTATCAATCAAATATTTTGTAATACCACAAGCAATGTCATTTTTGGTTTTGATTATATACAATGTTGTATAATTTATTTCATACATTTTATCGCACATACAAGATGTGATTGGCTCTACATAATAGAAATGCCAGTTCAAATTTCAAAATGAATTCTCAAATTTGAATCCGAAAAATGCCAGAAATTACATTTGCGTATGCTACTGTACAAAAAGCTGGTTAAATTCTACTGTGTAAAAAGCTTTAGGAACACCAAGAAAAATCGCAAGAAATTGCATCATAAGGTGATCCTAGGCATATTAAGTACGTTAGTTTAATATCATTGCACAGTATGTTATGAAATTAATAATCCACGTGGTTTCTATTACTAGTGCTGAATTGAATTAACAATTTTTCTTTTTAATTTTTCTCTAATATCCATGAAAATTATGTAATGGCTTAATGTACAATACTGTTAAATTTACATACACACACACACCGATAAGAAAAGCAACAAAGGGTAGTGTATGTGGGCGTTCATTTGAACTACCAAAAATATAAGAGCAAAATGTATGTATACAATGAAAATTGTAAAGAGAAAACGGGAATCGAAACACAACAACCGCGAGCTTACATGGTATAAATTTTTTTATCCAAATATGAATTATATATCGAAAATATAGAGGAGAAATTTTTCGAATATTATACTACTGTGATCTGAAATTTATTTTACTTCTATTGCTATTTTTTATGAATTCGCTGATCTTTAGTATAATTTTAGAATTAAAAAATACCGTTTAGTATTCAAAACATTTATAAAGTTGAAAGCATACGTGCAAAAGAAATAACAATAATACGTGATTCCAAGAGTTAAAATTTTTTTTAATCGTATCAATTATTCTGAATCATTTTACGGCGCCTAATAAATATGGCCTAAAAAT